CTTGTCGAAGGTCACCGCCATTTCCGACGTGCCCTCCAGCGGGGTGGTGCGAGCCGCCGAGAATGCTGACCGCAGCTCTGAGGAGCCAGGGCCAGCGGGGCCCAGTGCCCCGCAGGCCACCGGGCTTAGCAAGCCCAGCAGGAGCAGCAGCATGGCACCTGGGAGGGGAGAGAAGACCCAAGCAGGGGAGGAGGGTTGGACAGCGGCTGCTTTCACCTGTAATTTCTCTTCCTAGCCTTGCTCTTGACCCATGACTACGTTTTCCTTCACTAGGCCAGTATGTCTCACTTAGTGTCGCCTGGAGGGCTTATTACAGCACCCATACTTGTCACCGTCTCAAACACACACACACACACACACACACACACACACACACACACAACCCAGTCGATTTATTCCATAAGCCTGGGAGGCGGCCTGAGAGTTTGCATGTCTAATAGTATCCTTAGTAGTCTGATTAGCTGATCTAGAGTTCATACCATTGGATTAGGCCAGTACTTCTCCGAACTTTTGATTTTAAGCATGAGAATCCTTTTGCAGATAAGACCTGGTACACATGCTGCAGACTTGTTAAAATGTTCTGGTTAATGAGGCCTACACCTCTCACCTAACCCCTCCCTCCTCCTTCTCTGGGTGTTAAGGAGGTCTGTTTCCAACAGCCAACACTTCCTTGCCACTTCATTTTCCTGTAGTTTTTCTCTGGTCCTTGGCCTGCCCTTCACAATAAACACTGGCTCCTTGTATCAGTTTCCACCATGGCAACGTTTTAAGTCTTATCTGGGAATGAATGGAGAGTGCTGCTCTCTAACCCCTCTCCTGGCCTCTGACCTACTCAAGAGTCCCACAGGATCTCCGGACTCCCCTGGGGCCCTTCCTGCACTGAGGAGGTCTGGCGAGAGACTTTGAGTTAGTGTCTTCCCTATGAAAACAATGGGGATAACAAGGGACCGGAGAGATGGCTCAGAGTGTTAGCTGCCATTCTAGAGGACCCAAATTTAATTTCCCAGCACTACAAGGCAACTTGCAGCCATCTGCAACTCTAGATCTTCTGCCTCTTCTGACCTCCAATTGGCAGCACACACATAGAGGGTACACAGACATACATGCAAGCAAAACACCCATATACATAATTTTGTTTTAATTTTAAGGTCTATAATAACTCCTTCTGTGCCTTTGTGCTTGGAGGTTAGCTCCTTGGGAAGTAGCAAACCACAGCTGCTAAGGATAGGGAGAACAAAGTAAAATTCTGGCAGGCCTTTGGCAGGATGGTGATGTCATCAGCTTCATTGGTGGTGGTGGTGGTAGACTGGAGTAGGCAGGCTTAGATCTGGACACCAGTCTTGGGGAATTAACCACAAGCACTGTGACACTGAATCACACCCCAGTCACTGTAGGCAGTTTTTAAAAACTCTCTGAGTAAATGGCATGCATAATGGAGGGCCTCACAGAAGCTTGTGGTAACATACCCAGACAGCAATTGTGAACAAGGTCTGTATAGAGACAGACCTACCCCGGCGTCCATACGCTTCTGTTCTTACCACTGGGAAAAGTGATCTGATCAAGTTCTTGACATAAGGGGTAGAGCCTCAGTAAATGCTTGGTGAAGGCATTATCCGATTCCTGGAGTCATGCTGATGGTGGGGTTCCATAATGCTCTGAAGTAGGGCAGAGGCTTTGAGGCTTGAACACCCAAGGCTCCGAAGTGGAGACAATCAGGAGAGAGGCTGGAGACAGCTTGGGACATGAGCTTTTCTGGGAAGTACCCTGGGAGTGTGTGTGTAGCCTTGTGTGTCTAATGGATGCCAGGGGCCTGCTGAGAAGAGCTGCCAGGGGCAGCTCCGCAGCTGTGTCCCACTCCTGGCTGCTCACCTGAGGATTGGATTCTAGCCTGCATTCTATTTGCCTAGCTGCTGGAGTAAAATACACTGCCCTTTAATTCTCACAATGAAGACCTCAAGTCCAGCTGAACACTGCCTCCTTCCAGAGGGGTACTTTTCTGGTCCTCACAGAGATGTCCCATGTGTTACTTGGTGAGGATAGGGAGGAGAGAAGGGGCCCATCTGTAGTGGTGAAAACTATGCCTGCCAGGTGCCTCGTCCATTCTTTTTTACAGAGCTGTTTTAGACATAGATAAGCCCTCTCCCATTTTATTGATGAGAAAGCTAGTGCTTAAACAAGGGGTACACGTTTTGGCTCAAGGTCATCCACGGAGCACTACAGTAAGCCCTAAACAGAGGGTTTTTTAAATTTCAGATTCAGTGTTCTTTTCTACTAGCTTTCCCTCTTACACAAAGGCATCTTTACAGCGGATCTGTTTCCCGCCTCTGACCCCTTTTGCAAAAACAGAAGAGGCAAGGCATGAGTGCTGGAGGAAGCAAGCAAACAAAGGCAAGCAAAACCCTCTGTCGTTTTGTCTCCTGGGAGGTGGGAGCGCTCCCTGCCCTGCAGCTTTCCTGGCAGGTCTGCTCTAGAAGTCCTGCTTGCCCTATCCTTTGCCACCTCCCTCCCAGTCTGGTATACCCACCAGTGCCAAAGGGTCTTCCTGTGGGGCCAATGCCCTTCCCCCCTTTCATACTCTACCGCACATGTCCCTGAACACTGGATCCTTCCTTTGACAACCCCTTTTTCCCCCCTGGCAGGTCAGAGGGGGGATGGGAAGGTGTCAGGTGGGTGTCAAAGCTCCAGGGAGGAAATGGCTAAACAAAGCTCTGTCCAGGTAAAGCTCAAAATAGTCGTCTTCAAAGAGAAAAACTGGGACAGGGAGCTGGGTAGACCCAGAGCCCCGGAACCAATGGAGAAGGTGCAGCGATGTCAGGCTGAGGGCATCTTCAAGCCCCCAGCGCCTTGCTCCCGGTGCCCCAGTTAAACCTGTTCTCAAACCCCCCCAGAAACCCCTTCTGTCTTCCTTGAAAGTCCAGCATCCTTTCAAGAAGGTCAGCCCCACTTTTACAGAAGTAGCCAATTATTTTTTTTTCGTGGGGAAAAAATGCCCCAGAACCACCCCCCCTCAAGCCCTTTTCCTTGAGACCTGCCCTCCACCCCTCCCTTCGGAGTAAAAGCCCTAGAGCCTCTTTCATG